TTTTTTTTTTTTTTTTTTTTTTGGGTACCAGGGTTCGAGTTCTGGTCCTTGTGCTTTTGAAGCAGGCGGTGTGGAACCACTGAGCTAAACCTTTGGCCCATTTCTTGCGAGACAGGTCTTGCTAAGTCACTTTGTAGCCCAGACTTAGCTAAAACTTTGATCCTCCTGCTTCAGTCTCCCAAGTGCTGGTATTGCAGGTGTGCACCACCACACCTGGCTTTAAAAAGTTACATTTTTATGCCTGGAATTTAGCTCAGTGGTGCCGCAGCCTACCTCGGAAGTGTAAGGTCCTGAGTTTGATCCCTGGTACCAAAAAAGAAAGAAGAAATGAAACTTCAGAAGAGGAATATAAAATAAAAGATGATTTTTTAGAAAGTTATTTTTAATGAAGTCAAATGCATCTGTTTTTCCTTTTGTCATTTATGCTTTTGTGTCAAAGATTTGCACCTAAGCTGGGGATTTAGCTCAGTGCTGCCTGCCTTGAGGTCCCGAGTTTGATCCCTGGTACCCTCCCCCAAAGAAAGCAGTTGTATGGCTTTAGTTTTTACATGTAAGTCTGTGAGCCATTCTGAGCTAATGTTCCAGGTATTACGTGATCATTTCCCTAACGGGCTCTCTCCAGCCCACCCCAAGGGAAGGAGATGGAAGGGTGTCTCCCAGCCCGAGGCTCTGGAACCCTTGGGGAACAACGTCTGGCCTGAGCGCGCAGGAGGGCTGATGAGGGCGTCTGGAAGCGGGCCCGGCAGGCCCTTGACACTGCCGCATGGCTGACTGCCGGCTCAGGCCTGCTGGTCTTGCAGCAAAGCCGCGGCGGGGAAGATGAACCTCTACGAGTCGTTCGCCCAGGCCACCCAGCTGGGGGATCTGCACACCTGCCTGATGATGGACATGAAGGCCTGTCAGGAGGACGACGTGCGGCTCCTGTGCCACCTCACACCGTCCATCTACACCGAGGTCAGTGCCTCCCCTTCCCGGGCGCCCCTCTCTCGTGGTACTGGGGATTGGAACGGGGCCTTCACGCTGCTTCCCTGGTCCTTTTCATTTGTGGCGTTGGTTGAACCAGGGTCTCGGTCACTAAGTTGTTCGGGGTGGGTTTCAGTCTGCAGTCCTGCCTCTGCCTGGGATGGTACGACAGGACTGAACCACCATGCCCAGCATTCCACCTCATTTTTGGTACTGGGCATCAAACTCAGGGCCCTGGGCTTGCGAGGCAGGTATGGTGCCGCTGAGCTAAGTCCCTGGTCCAGCACCTCTTGCTTTAAAGGCTGAAGGTCCTCTGAAGTTCCAGAACTCCTGTCCTTCAGCTTTACCGTGGCGTTAGTTGGGACCTAGCTCTCAGCTCTGGGCCCCCAACCCGGGTCCAAGTTCAGACGTCTCAGGCTTATGACCCACCTGGATTCTCAGACTTCCCAAAGACCAGGGCTCCTGTGGCGCAGTCTCACTTTCATTTCCCCAGTTCGGCTGCGGTCTTTTCTTGCCACTGGAACAGAGGAGGAAGTATCAGCTCTTCCTCTTCTTGCTGCAAGTTCCCAGGAAGAGAGAAATGAGGGCCAGGGTGTGGCCCTGACTGCAGAGCTATGACCCCAGCCAAGAGAGCAGGGAGGAAGGGGGCCCCAGATGTAGCTCAGGGCACTGCGCCTGCTTCGCAAGCCCAGGGTCCTGAGTTTGACCCCAGGTACCAAAAACGTGGAGGGAGGACGGTGAAGGGCCTGCCGCACGCCCAGACACACTCTCCACACTTTTTCCTTGTCTAGGAGGCTCCCAGGTAGCGTTCTCTGCTGCCAGGGACGTCATGTTTTATTGCTGCTCCCAGAGAACTGCCCACTCTGGTCTCCTTCTTGAAGCCTGACTCCTCCTACCCGCACCATTGTGCGCATGCACAGATGACGACGGTGTGGGGCCTCCAGGACGAGAGCAGCGTCCCAGCTGCTGAGTCTCTGTGGAGGGATTCACACCGGGGTCCCTCCTGCCGACCCAGGCAGACTCTGAGCTCCTTCCCTCCTTTTCTGTGTAGTTTCCAGATGAAACGCTGAGGAGTGGGGAGCTGCTGAACATGATCGTGGCTGTTATTGACTCCGCACAGGTGAATCTTGAGCTTTGTCATCCTACACACTTGAAGACGGGACTAGGGGACAGGGCTGTGCTCTCTCCAGGCCTGCAGACAGGAGCAGGAGCGGACCGCACCGACCCCATCTCCTGGTAGCGGTTGGCTGCACCCTAGGCCCTGGGGCAGGAAGAGAAAGCGAGCCGGAGGGAGGCAGGCTGGGGCAGCTGATGACGAGCGTCCCTCGTTCTCCTTACTCTTTGGACACTCCCGCTTCCTCAGGGACAGCTGAGGTCGCTGGCTTTCAGGTCTCAGCCGGCCTGCCTCTGGGCTCAGAATGAAACAGGTGGAGCATTTCCCCTGACCTTGCCACCCTGCAGAGGCCCCACACGATCGCAGTGTTGCTCAGGCCTGGACTGGGACCGCGTTTCTTCTCCCATCCACTCGGTCTGCACTCAGAGGAAACAAGCAACGAGGAAACCTCCTTTCTTTGCTCTTGCCTCCCCCTTTCCCTGCCCAGTGCAGTTCTGGGCCCAGCTTCCCTGGGCCTGCTGGCTCCTCAGGCTCCGGTGCTCTCTGTCACCAGGCACGGGCAATGTCTCCTAACTGCTTTTCCTCACGTGACTGTGGTTCCCAGTCAGGCCTGTCGCTGTTTCCGCAGCCCCCTTCATCCTCAGAAACCTTCCCTCTCACTGGCCTCAGGCCCCTTGTAGGGCTAAGAGGTCTGCTCTCTCGCTGCCCTCCGTAGCTGCAGGAGCTGGTCTGCCATGTGATGATGGGGAATCTGGTCATGTTTCGGAAGGACTCAGTCCTCAACATACTCAGTAAGTGGCCTGGCCTCTCAGGTCCCCGGGAGAGAGGAGAGGGGTGCGGCCCTGTGCACTTTGCAGTAACAGAAAAGGTGGTTCTGGGCCAGAAAGTGAAGGAGAAGAACCGTTTGCCACCCTGTGTGGTCGTGGGCCAGTTCTCTCCCGTTCTGGAAAATGGGACCTTTTCCCTCGTCCCTCGAGCCTTGGGGCCAGTGGGAACGCAGAAGCCCTGTGAAGACTGGAAATAAGGGCTGTGTGGGAAGGAAAAGGCTCCGAGTCTGTGCCACCCCTGCTCGGGGTGCGGGTCCTCGGTTGGTTAGCTGTGTTGAAAGGGGGTATGAGAGAGAGGAGAACAAGAGGTCTCTTCTGTCTCTCCCAGTCCAGAGCCTGGACTGGGAAACCTTTGAGCAGTATTGTGCCTGGCAGCTCTTCCTGGCCCACAACATTCCCCTGGAGACCATAATCCCTATCCTACAGCACCTCAAGTACAAGGGTGAGTAGGGTTGCAGCTTGCAGCTCCTCGGGAGTGTTCAGCTGGGGCAGAGCCGAGGCCTCTCAGCTTCTGGGTGAGCCAGGACCTTGTTCCCAGGACCCCAGTGCGGAGAAGGCCATCATGAGCCCTGCCGGCTGACTCTGACTGCGTGCTGGGCCGAGGTCAGGGACAGGACGCTCCCCGGCTCTCAGTCTGAGGCTGTGCTTGCTCGGCTCCTGACCCGCAGGGGGATGGGAGAGGTGCCCAGATTTCCTGCAGGAGTGATATGGCCCCTCTCCCCACAGAGCACCCGGAGGCCCTGTCTTGCCTGCTGCTTCAGCTCCGAAGAGAGAAGTGAGTTCCACCCCCAGGGCTCCCTAGCTGTCGGTCCCACGTACCAAGAGCTAGTGTTGCAAGGGGCTTGGTCCTGCTCTCTTTGCCCTTTCTCTTTCCCGTCCCTGATGTCTGCTTACTCTGCCCTTCACCCAGTGTCACTTAGAAACAAGCAGCTCCCTGGGGTCTGGGCTTCCTCTGACTTTGCGGCCCTGCCCACCAGGAGCTGCCCGCGGAGGTGAGGAAGTGGGGACCGGACACCCTTATTTCCTGCTGCCGTGGCAGCTCTGGTCCTGGTAGCCCCTGCACACCACAGGCTAATCAGGAGGAGGATGGGTCAGAGTCAGGGGTCATTCCTGTCCTGCCCTCTGCCCGCCCAGAGCAGCAGCTGGGCCATGCGCTCCCTGCTAGGGCTGCCCGGTGAGAGGCGGAAGGCCCCTCTCTGTCACGCGCACGTTAGCAGCATCCCCCGTAAATGGGCCAACAGCTCTCTTCTCCTCCTACCCTCTGCCTGCCTGAGACACTAGTGCAGTGTCCCAGAGCAAGTGGGAAGTCAGGGGGCCGCACGTGGGAACAGCCCTCTCCGGCCGCCCTCAGGCCGGACACCAGCCTGGTCCCCTTCCTCGCTGCTCTGCGGGAGGCTGGCGGTCTGGCAGGCCTCCTCCCCGGCATACAGGCAGCTCCTGCACCACCACAGAGAAGGAAGCCTCTCACTGCTGTCGCAGCGGGACTCGCAGCGGAGTATGAGGGAGGGCAGCAGTGCCCAGGGCCGGCCGGCCAGCACAGAGCTCATGTTGTCACCCCAGGCCCAGCGAGGAGATGGTGAAAATGGTGTTGAGTCGGCCCTGCCATCCCGACGACCAGTTCACCACCAGCATCCTGCGGCACTGGTGCATGAAGCACGACGAGCTGCTGGCGGAGCACATCAAGGCCCTGCTCATCAAGAATAACAGCCTCCCTCGGAAGAGGCAGAGGTGGGGCCCGGTCCCTGGCGCCTGCCCCGGGATGGGTGTTACAAAGCCGTGACCGCCGCCCCTCCCTCGTGGGCCGCCTGTGCCCTGTGCAGTGGAGGGCGTCTGGCACTGGGCACCCTCCCCAGCTCAGCGGCTCTCCTGCCTCCCCACGCAGCCTGCGGAGCTCCAGCAGCAAGCTGGCCCAGCTCACCCTGGAGCAGATCCTGGAGCACCTGGACGGCCTTCGGCTCAACCTGACCAACACCAAGCAGAACTGTACGCCTGCTCCGGGTCGGGTCTTACAGCGCTGGCCTGGGTCTGACCCCCTTGAGCCAGGCTGGGGCAGGGAACACCCTGGGGAGCACAGCTTTGGGAAGGACACACGGGCTCCCAGAGGGCTCACTGTCCTTTCTCTCCGCCCCTCTCTAGTTTTCAGCCAGACGCCAATCCTCCAGGCCCTGCAGCACGTCCAGGCCAGCTGTGACGAAGCCCACAAGATGAAGTGAGCCTCCTTCCGCGTCGGCCCCGAGGAGTGGTGAGGCAGCCACAGGAGGGGTCAGGGTGCCGGCTCTGAGCCCGTGTTCTGACCTCTAGGTTCAGCGACCTCTTCTCCCTGGCTGAGGAATATGAGGACTCTTCAACCAAGCCACCCAAGAGCCGGAGGAAGGCGGCTCTGTCCAGCCCTCGGAGTCGGAAGAATGCCACTCAGCCCCCCAACGCCGAAGAGGAGTCGGGCTCCAGCAGCGCTTCGGTAAGACCTGGGCAGTGCGGTGCCAGCAGCGTGCGGGAGGAAGGGACAGCAGACCAGGAGTGGGGCCGGCCAACGTCCAGGGTGGTGATTTTCTCTCCTCTCCCACGTCTTGCAGGAGGAGGAAGACACAAAACCGAAGCCTACCAAGCGGAAACGGAAGGGGTCCTCTGCAGTGGGCTCGGACAGTGACTGAGGCCCCGGTCCCGACCCACCCCCAGTTTGACTGCCCTCCTCCCGGAGGGTAACTGGGCCAGGGATGTGCAGGAAATGGCCTCTCCTTCCCAGCTCGCCCAGTGGGAGGATGAGCTGCTCCCTGAGGCCCCTCCTGTCCTGCTGCTCCCCACCCCCGCCAGTCTCTCCAGGAGCTGCTTCAGCCCAGGAAGGTGATGACCGGGCCGCTGGGCAGGGCGGCCAGCATGAAGGCAGTGCTGCTTCCCCACCGCCTTGAGTCACTGAACCGACGAGTCGTGGCCGCCCCGCACACAGCCACGTGATCGGTGCCCATCGGGGCAGATGCCGCAGCCTTGAGGAGGAAGCCGGAAGGGGAGGCCCCAGCCGACACTGCCCAAAGTGTGGGTTGGCCTAAGGTTGGCCCCTAAAGCCGGGCCGGGATCCGGGGAGTCCCAGAGGCAGGTTCCTCAGAACTGTGACATGGCCCCATTTCCTTGGTTCTGTTTTGGCTTTTTCATTTTTTCTCTCTACTTTTTTTTTTTTTCAGAGATAATCCAGTTTTAAAAGTTGGTTTTAAATGAGAATAAAACGAGCCTGAACATTTGCACGAGTTGGTGCCCGCATTTACCCTGTGCGTGTACAGAGAGCTCCAGGGTCGCTGGCGCCCCAGTTGTGTCCTCAGTGTCCCTGCCCTGACCGCCTTACCGAGGGCAGGATAGACACAGCTTTGCCCTCCCCACCCCTCTTTACCACGGAGGTGTGAGCCAGGCACTGACCTGTCGGTGTGGACGTGGAAGCTGGCACCGCCTCTGCCCACTGCCCCCAGCCCGGAGGCCCGGGCGAGTCGTCCTCCGGCTCGCTGACTCGGCCCCTGGTCTGGACGGGTCCGCCTGGGAAGGAGTCTCAGAGACCAGGCCAGTTGAGGAACGAAGGGTACCTGCAGCTGCTCCCGACGCAGCCTGCAAACGGCCTTTCCACAGAGTCCGGGTTGTCCTCTCCTTCCTCCCTTTGAAGATCTAAACCACCAGAGGCCTCCTCTTCTTCCTGTCCTTCCCGACTCCGCTGCTCAATTAAAGCCAGGCTGGAAAGCATTCTTTGGCTGGCCCCAGTCATCGTCCCTTTGTGCAAAGCGAGGGGCCTGTGCCGCGTGGCCCCTCCGGAAACCTGCGTGTCTGGGCCACCACCTTTTCCCTACTTCACTCTGCCCATACCTGGAGGGGAGCATGACTTTGGCTATGGAGCTGGGACTTGTAGAAACAAATGGGGCCCCGTGTGGTGGCGCACGCCTGTACTCCCAGCACTCCGGAGGCCGAGGCAGGAGGATCGCTGAGAGCTCCAGGCCAGCCTGAACTACGTAGCAAGACCCCGCGCCCGCCCTCCAAAAAACAAATGGGCCTGGAACCAAGATCTCTCCGGATACCCTCCCTCCATCACGGCTGAAAAAGCTGCCGAGGGAGAGATGCGCTGGAGCCCGGTGCCCAGGCGCACCGACTGCAAGCTGAAGCCCCAGAGGAGGGACTTGAGAAGGCGGCGCAGACCCGGGGTAGAAGGCGGGCGCGGGC